CATTCTGTTTGTAACACCTCGAACTGCACCCTAAGACAGAAAATGAACCATGTAGGTCCACGTCTTCGTATTGCCCCCATATAACGGTTCCCTCCGATATTCGGTATTTTGGTGATTTCAGCGACATTATTTATCGGAATTAAATTTTTTATTTCAAATTTTGTATTTAAAGTTCGTAATGAGAACTACAGCCTATGCCAGAAAATGGTCTGTGCAGGCTTATGAGAAAAGTTGCGTATGCAGGTCCATGTCGTCGTATAGACCCTAATATACGCTTACATTCGGTATTTTTAAGATTTTAACAGAATTTTTGAAAATTGGCACATTTGTACCAAATGGTGGAGGGTCTTCAAAGTTCGGCCCGGTCGAACTTACAGCTTTTTGCTTGTTTTAATATATGTTTTATCGAAGTCACATCATGCACTTTACAGCAATGTTATTTGGTACTAGAGGTACAAACGCCTCCGTCAAATTATTCAGGTTTGGATATTGTTCCCAATTGCCATGATACATAAACTCCCAATATCAACTTTTTTGTTACGGGGATCATATAGTCGGATATGCCCGATGTTCGATCTTTCCTTACTGGTTTTTAATTATTTTTATACCCTACACCACAAGGTGGTCAGGGTATTATGTCTTTGCGCATTTGTTTATAACAGGCAAAATGAAACGAGATAGACCCATAGTTACTTTTGAGGATCTCCATAGAATCACTTTCTGAGTTGATTTATGCATGTCAGTCCGTCTGTCCATGTATTTTTGTGAACAAAATGCAGGTCGCATTTATTATCTGATTGAGATAAAATTTTCCAAACAACATTTGTTTGGACCAAGGACGAACCCTATTGAAATTGGAGATAATCGGTAAAAATTTAGATATAGCTCCCATATATATATATATATATATTCGTCCGATTTACCTTTTATTGTGCACCAAACGTGAAATATCAGCCCGAATAGTATGGAATTTCGCACATACAACCAAATTAGGCCTGAAAATAAGTATGCCAAATTTGATCGAAATCGGTTTAGATTTAGCTATAGCTCCCATATATATTGTTCATCCGATTTATTATTTTTGTCCTCCGCAGCCGTAATATGCACACTGTAACAACAATATTTGGGGAAATACATCAAATACAGCTCAGAAATACATTTGCTAAATTTTATCGAGATCGGTTCAGATTTGGATATAGCTCCCATATATAACTTCGTCCGATTTACCTTTTCTTGTGCACCAAACGTCTAATATTTGTCCAAATGGGATGGAATTTGGCACATACGACTATTTGAGTCTAGACGGTAGTATGCCAAATTTGGTGATGATCGGTTCAGAAATAGCTATAGCTCCCATATATATTGTTCATCCGATTTGTTGTAATTGTTACTCACAGCCGTAATATGCACTCCGTGGTTGGTGTGGGGCTAAAGTTTTAAAATTCATGATAATTTGCAATTTCTAGGGACGAAAGAAAACTTCATAAAACCTACGGTTTAGGGGGGTTAAAAGTTTTAAAATTCATGAAAGTTTGCGATTTGTAGGAACGAAAATATTGAAATTTTTCTAAAAAAAATTCTCGATTCCTGCGCGAACATGCGAACATGCGAACATGATCTCTAAAAATGAGACCAATGAAGACCATAAACATATTAAAAATCCGTCAATAGTAAGATCACAGATGGCTTGATATTTTAAAATACAGCAATTGTGGAACTCTGCAAAATTCTTCAAAAATCTTCCTCTTTTGTTGAATCGTAGGCTTCAAAAATCTCAAATAGTTACAGGTACATAATTTTAACTTTGTCCCCAAAAACAAAAAACAAAAAAAAAAAACACTATTAGGTATAAAATTCAACATTCCCTTTTGGGTGTGTATTTTAAATGGTGTAATGAATTACCAAACAGATCTATCACAAACAAAATATGTAAATTATATCAGCATGTTTGAAGACAAAATACACAAATCAAAACAATAAAAGAAAGCAATTAAAAAGAGTACAGTCAAACCAGGCTATGATGGACTTGATGAAAGATACATTTTTACTGTCTACTTCCTGGAGGTCATAGAAAGAAAAAATATTTGTAGGAGAATAATAATAAATAAAAAATAATGAATAAAAGTGTGAAGTAGGGTTACTCTCTACTCTCTCTCTCTATCTCTCTTTTAATTCCCTTTAAATTTTTACTGTCTACTCGCATAGAAAGAAACAAGTAAAAAAACATTAAGTTCGGCCGGGCCAAACTTTTAATACCCTCCACCTTAGGGTAAAAGAAACATTAGAAGAAATGTGGTAAAAACCATTAAAATGCCGATTATGGGGAGGTACCGTTATATGGGGGCTATACCAAAACGTGGACCTATAATTACAATGTTTCGCCACCGGAGCTGGAACCCATTATGACCCACAAATACCAATTTTTAGACAAATCAGTGAAAAAATGTGGCAAAAACCATCAAAATACCGAATATCGGGAGGTACCGTTATATGGGGGCTATATCAAATCATGGACCCATGCATACAATGTTTCGCCACCGAAGCTGGAACCAATTATGACCAACAAATACCAATTTTCGAACAAATCCCTGAAAAAATGTGGTAAAAAAAAATTAAAATACTAAATATCGGGAGGTACCTTTATATGGGGGCTATACCACAACGTGGACCTATACATGCAATGTTTTGCCACACGCTCAGGGACCCGCTATGACCTACAAATACCAATTTTAAGACAAATCCGTGAAAAAATGTGGCATAAATCATCAAAATACCGAATATCGGGAGGTACCGTTATATGGGGACTATACCAGAACGTGGACCGATATATCTCATTTTCAATACCAACCATCCTAGACACAATGCAAATAGCTCTGCTAAATTTTGGAGCTCTACGTCAAATAATGTGGGCTGTATCGTGATTTCAACAGACAGACGGACAGACAGACGGACAGACAGACAGACGGACAGACAGACAGACGGACATCGTTAAATCGAGTTAGAATTTTATGCTGATTATGAATATATATACTTTATGGGGTCTAAAACGAATATTTAGGGATGTTACAAACGGAATGACAAAGTTAATATACCCTCTTTTCCAAGGTGGAGGGTATAAAAATATTTGGAGGAAGGAAAAACTGAATAAAAGTGTGAAGTAGGTTTACTCCCTACTCTCTCTCTCTCTCCCTCTCTCTATCTCTCTCCCACTCTCTCTCTCTCTCTCAATTCCCCTTTTATACCCTCAGCCATATGGCTAGACAGCGTATATATATTTTGATATGCCCAAAACATGTCCCATCGAAATAATGGTTTAAGACCCTACTTCTCTTTGGACCGAATTCGTTACCGGACATTTGGAGTCGATCTAACGATGTTCTTCCGTCTGTCTGTTTGGTTGGTTGGTGCGCATGATAACTCTCGAAGCGAGTATCCGATTTGGTCCAAACTTGCTACATAGTAATATTATTATCAAACTTAGATCAAATTGGGAGATGGGCAATATCGGCCCATTCCTTCTGGGACCTCCCACACAAATGGTCAACATTTTCAAAGAAAATATTTTACTGCACAGAAAGAATAAGGATGATCCGATTATGCTCCTACTTTGCGACTAATATTTGCATCATTGCTAGGTTAGGTGCGAAAATGGACAGTATCGGTCCACTCCATTAAGCACCTCCTCCACAAAGGGTCAAAATTTTGAATAATTATAACTCTAATAAAATGAGATGTAAGAATCCGATTATCTTCAAATTACACTTATCAAAATATTTTTTATTAACCGATGGTCTGGTGTGAAGATGGGATATATCGGTCCACCGCTTCTGGTACCTGACCCACAAAGGGTCAAAATTTTGAAAACCCGTGAAACTTATAAAACGCGAAATTAATATCCGATACCATTCAAACTTGGTACATCTCAATATTTCTATCAACACAAGATCTGTTACAAAGATCTACCCCCACCAAGTCTCAAAATTTTGAAAAACTATAACTCTTATAAAATGAGATGTAAGTGTTCGATTGTCTTCAAATTTCACTTATCAAAATATTTGTATTAACCCAAGGTCTGGTGTGAAGATGAGATATATGGGTCCACCCCTTCTGGTACCTCCCCCCAGAGGGTCAAATTTTTTAATACCCATGAAGCTCATAAAACGCGAAATTAACATTCGATTCTATTCAGACTTGGTACACACCAATATTTCCATCAACACTAGATCTGTTACAAAGTTGGTGGAGATCGGATCATTCCTTCTGGTACCTCACCCACAAAGGGTCAACATTTTGAATAACGAAAAACGATTATAAAATCCGAAATAAGTATCCGGCTCTCTTCATATTTCACACATCCCATTATTTGTACTAACATAAGATCTGCTGTGAAGGTGGTATATATCGGTCCATTCCTTCTGGCACCTCCCCAACAAAGGGTCAAAATTTTGAATATCCATGAAGCTCCTATAAAGCGAAATTAACATCCGATTCCATTCAGACTTAGCGCATCTCAATATTTCCATCTAAACAAGATCTGCTGTGAAGATGGGATAAATCAGTACATTCCTTCTGATACTTCCCTAGCAAAGGGTCAAAATTTGGAAAAATCACAACGCAAGTCAAAATATTTTTAAATAATCGAATAATGGCTTAGGTTATACATATGTCGGCTAAACCGACTGATTCTCTTTAACCTGTTTAATTCTCTTTCAGAAAAATCGGCAAAAGAATTTCATTCACTTTTCCTCATAACCACACTCCACTGTACAGTTAACCGGACAAAACTTAGAAGCTGTTTATCTTCTTCTTCTTTAACAAAAATAAAACAAACACATTAAAACAACAACAACAACAATAAAACGCGTAAAATCGATGATTAGCAAAACCTGCCTGATGATGTTTTCTGGTCACATCAGCAGCATCGAGACGCAGAGCGAGCCAGTGACTGAGTTTGAGACTGAGACTAACTTTGCTAATTCGTTATCTAAGTTTAGTTTAAAATTGGACGCCTGCGCGCATTAACATATTTCAAAACACACACAAAATTCAAACACGGCAATGTTCGAAAACGAAAGCGGGTATTCAAAAGTGTAACAAAAAAGAAATTCAAAATTCATTTTTAAAAAATACCAAAAATACCAAAAAAAAAAGACAAAGAAAAATGGATACCACCCACCCAAATGCAGCCACTGAAAATGAGGAAAAACTTAGCTATTTTCAAAAAGTCTGGCGTTATCGCCGTTATCTGGTCATTGAGCCATTTTTCTTCTTCTATGTGATGGCCAGTGTTTTCAATATCATTGCCATGTTGAGTTTTCCGCTCGAGAAGGCGTGTAGCGTGAATTTGGGCTATAGCCGTGAAGTGTGTTCTACGACATTGGATAAATCGGTCTACGACATCAATTGTGATGCCTTTAATTTTGAAAACGTAACGGACTATAGTGCCACCGAAGCGGAGAAAGTGGCAACGGATATATCGCCGGGTTTCAATTTCACCGTGTGTAAAGCCGAAGTGGGGGCACAAAAACTGGCCGCCAATGTTTCGGGCAAGAGGGCGCCCATAGGTGAGTGTTGAAGTGGAAAAAAAATGATAGACAGATGTTGAAATTGGGTACAAATGTTTATAATTCTAAGGTTTTCCAAAGATAGAAAAAAGTGTAAAGTGCAAACATAAAAATATTCCCAAAATACAAATCAACGCCATTTAATTCAAATATTTTTAAAAAAAAAAAATTGTAAAAAAATTGAAAATAGGAATTAAAACTGAATCCAAAAAACTCCAAATATTCCCGATTTTTGTCTTTGAAAATTTTTTCTCTAAAATCCTCGATTTTTATTCAGGAGGTCCTTACAAGGTTTTCTTTGAAATCCAGGATAAATATATGCTCCTAAAATTTAAAAAAAAATCCGCGATAATCGGGCGGTGAAATATACAAAAACAAGTAAAAAAGCTGTAAGGTCGACCGGACCGAACTTTGAATACCCTTCACCATTTGGAACAAATTTGGAACAAAATTTCAAAAAAAAAAAAAAAAATAATAAATAAATAAATAAATAAAAAATCTTAAAAATACCAAATGTAGCCGTCATATTCGGATCTAAACGACGACGTGGACCTGCAAAGGCAAATTTTGTCATAAGCCATTAAAATATTCAAATGAGAAACTTAAAAAAATCGGTGAATAATGTAGCTAAAATCAACAATATAGGGAGGAACTATTATATGGGAGCTACACGAAGACGAGGACCTGCACAGACAATTTTCTGCCTCAGGCTGCAGTATCCATTACTAAATTCAAATACCAAATTTGAAACATTTCCGGTAAATAATGTCGCTAAAATCATTAAAATACCGAAAATCCGGAGGTACCGTTATATGGGGGCTATACGAAGACATAGGCCTGCACAGACAATTTTCTGTCTTGGGCTGTAGTATCCATTACGAACTTCAAATACCAAAGTTGAAACAATTCCGGTGAATAATGTCGCTAAAATCACCAAAATACCGAATAATTGGAGGAACGTTTATATGGGGGCTATGCGAAGACGTGGACCTGCACAGATAATTTTCTGTCATAGCCTGTAGTATCCATTTCCAACTTCAAATACCAAATTTGAAACAATTCCGATAAATAATGTCTCTAAAATCATTAAAATACCGAAAATCCGGAGGTACCGTTATATGAGGCTATACGAAGACGTGGACCTGCACGGACAATTTTCTGTAATAGGCTGTAGTATCCATTACGAACTTCAAAAACCAAATCTGAAATAATTCAGGTAAATAAAGTTGCTAAAATCATCAAGATACCGAATATCGGGAGGTGCCGTCGTTATATGGGGGCTATACGAAGACGTGGACCTGCACAAACAATTTTCTGTCATAGGCTGTAGTATTCATTACGAACTTCAAGTACTAAATTTCAAACAATTCCGATGAATAATTTCGCTAAAATCATCCAAATACCGAATATCGGGAGGTACCGTTATATGGGGGCTATGCGAAGACGTGGACCTGCACGGACAATTTTCTGTCATAGGCTGTAGTATTTATGATGAACCTTAAATGCCAAATTTGAAATAATTCCAGTGAATATTGTCGCTAAAATCATCAAAATTCCGAATATCGGGAGGTATCGTTATATTGGGGCTATGTGAAGACGTGGACCTGCACGGACAATTTTCTGTCAGAGGCTGTAGTATCCATTTTGAACTTTAAATACCAAATTTGAAACAATTCCGGTGAATAACGTCGCTTTAATCACCAAAATACCGAAAACAGAGAGCTACCATTATTTGGGGGCTATACGAAGGATTGGACCCACATGACCCATTTTCAATACCAAAAGTCCTGCAGACATAATATACATTTGCGTAAAATTTTATCAACCTACTTCATTTCGCTCGGAAGCTAGAGTGATTTCCACAGACGGATAGACGGACGGACATCGCTAAATCGACACAGAATTTTATGCTGTGTGGGGTCTAAAATATGTGTTTCGACGTCTTAAAAACGGAATGTCCAACTTAATATTCCCCCCATAAAAGTAAAGAAGCGACTTGATCGAAGCCCGCGTCGCAGTGGCCGAAAAACGGCATGTGAGCTGAACATATCGCAATATTACATTCGACAAATATTGAAAAATGAGCTCGGGGTAAAGCAATTTAAATTCCAAAAAGTGCAAGAACTTACACCGCAATAGAAAGAAAATAGACTCAAAAGAGCTAAAGAGTTGCTTCGCGTGGCCGAAAGTGGTGAACTGCCGAATTTGGTTTTCTCCGATGAGAAAGCATTCGTTGTCCAGCAGTTTGTAAACAAACAAAATGATCGTGTTTACTTGCCAAAGAGGTCAGCTGAAAATGTGCATCTTCGGTTGGCCAACACACCACAGAACTCAAGCGCCGGCCATGGTGGGGCGGTGTGGGCCACTATAACAGCCGATGGTCGCTTTCCGCACGTATTAATCGACCGTGACATCAGAATAAATGACGAATATTATCGCGAAAATATTCTGGAGGGTGTATTAAAGCCTTTTGCCACAGACCTTGGACATTCCATCAGGACTCAGCATCATCGCACTCAGTACGCGCCACCCAAGAATGGTTACAAAATGAGGTTCTTCGCTTCATTTCCAGCGCACAATGGCCACCAAGATCTCCGGATACCAATCCGTTCAACTATTGTGTCTGGAGTATTTTGGAAAGTAAGGTTGGCACTAAATAATACCAAAGTGTCGATCACCTCAAGCAAGCGCTTCGCCAGGAATGGGCCAAACTACCGCAGAGCAACATTCGGGCAGCGTTCATTTGGCCAATCAATAAAATGAAAAAAAAACAAGTAAAATAGTATCAGTCGGTTTTGCCGACAGATGTATACCCTCAGCCTTGAGTTACGAACGTGACAGATTTGGACTATATCGACTACTTCTTGTACTTTATATGAGGTATGTGCACCTTTACGGAAAATGGAAATATGCGTCAGGTAACAGATACAGCGGACCGAAGTATTCCATTTTCACACTTCATCTAATACAGATAAAATACATCATCCTAGTCTGAATAGAATCGGATTATAATTTTGCGTTTTGTGGGGGAGGGTACCAGAAGGAGTGGACCGATATATCCCATCTTCACACCAGATCTTGAGTTAGCAGAAATAATGGGACGTGTGTAATATGAAGAGAACTGGATGTTTATTTCGGATTCTTTGGAATGGAATCGTGTTCAAGTGTTTTAAGGGCGTGATGAATATTCAAAATTTCGACCTTTTGTGGCGGATGTACTTGATGGAGTAGGCCTATATTATCCATTTTTGCACCTGACCTAGAACTGACGTAAATATCCTAACACCAGACCTTGGGTTAATATAAATATTGGGATGTGTGAAATTTGAAGACAATCGGACTATTTTATCACATTTTATGAGAGTTGTAATTATTTAAAATTTCGACCCTTTGTGGGGGAGGTACCAGAAGGAGTAGACCGATATTGTCCATTTTTACAATTGACCTAGCACTTACGCAAATATTGAGATTTGCAAAGTTTGAGCAAAATCGGATTATCGTTTCTCTTTCTGTGCAAAAAAAATATATTTGTTAAAATTTCGACCATTTGTGGGGGAGGTACCAGAAGGAATGGACCGATATATTCCATCTTAACATCAGACCTTGGGCTAACATAAATATTGGCATGTGTAAAATTTGAAGACAATCGGACTCTTACATCACATATTATGAGAGTTGTAATTATTCAAAATTTTGACCATTTGTGGGGGAGGTACTTGATGGAGTGGACCGATATTGTCCATTTTCACACTTGACCTAACACTGATGCAAATATTAAGATTTGCAAAGTTGGGGCAAAATCGGTTTATCGCTTCTCTTTCTGTGCAAAAAATAAATTTTTTGAAAATTTCGACCTTTTGTGGGGGAGGTACCAGAAGGAGTGGACCGATATTGCCCATCTCCGAACTTGACAAAAATATTACGATGTATCAAGTTTGGACCAAATCGGATACTCCCTTCAAGAGTTATCGTGCGCACCAGCCAGCCAGACAGACAGACAGACAGACGGACGGACGGACGGACGGACGGACGGACATCGCTAGATCGACTCCAAATGTTCTGAAACGGATTTGGTCCAAAGAGACCTAGGGTCTAAAACCGTTATTTCGACTAGGCACGTTTTGACCGTATCAAATGATATATACCCTCTGTAGCCATATGGCTGAGGGTATAAAAAATAATAATTATGGCGTTTGACTTCGTTGCAGTTTCTTTTATCTCACCCTGTATATGCCTTATGGGGTCTAAAATGTATATTTCGAGGTGTTACAAACGGTATGACAAACTTAATATAGCCGCCATACTATGGTGGAGGGTATAAAAAAATCAATATCAAAATTAGAAAAATCTAAGATGAGTGCTTAAAAAATTAGAAAACCCCTTGATTGTCAGATGTGCCTTTAAAAAAAAACAATAATCCGTTAAATAATAATAAAATTATATTATTATTATTTAACGGATTATTGTTTATTTATTTTTTTTTTTTTTGCAACACCTTTCCCAGCAAACTGGATTTAAATTTTATATTCAAATATTTTGCCAAGCGAAAGTCAAGGTTATGAAATTGCGAAGCAAACTTCACAAAAATAGACTTCAAACGCCTGGGATGATTCCGAAACAGAAAATCTACATACCCAAAAGAATGTTAATTTTTAAGGGCATTTGCGAAATCATATTTATGTAAGTTTCAAATATTTTGCCGGTAAAAGAGAAGGTGTGGGACAAGAAGAAATTCCAAAAAATAAAATGTTTTGCAAATTGGCGTAGCCTTTAAATTGTAACGGGTTTACTAACACCCTGCTGGAATTTTTGATTTTTTTTTTTTTTTTGAATAACAAATTTTAAAAGAGTTTGCCAGGTGAGAGATGGGAATTTTTGAAATCTTCATTTGTGTAGTCTGCAAATCTAGCCAAAGCACCAGGTAGATCGGTATGACTTGATCGGCAGAAAATTGTCATTTATTGTCCAATTCCGTCATTATAATAACTCTGACTCCTTCA